CCTTCAGAACAAGGTGTGAAACAGCCATGAAAGAAGTGACATACCCTAGAAATGCAATCTCAGCTCTTGCAAATCTGGATCTGAGGGTCCTCAGATTTATTGAGCTTCTACCTGGACTGAACTGCCTCTATGTGGATAACAGGGTTAAAAGAAAATTCTTCCTTGAGAGTTGAAAGCCAGCAACCAGCAACAGCTGCAGATTCCCATAACAAAAGGTGCCACTAGACTGACTGTTTCTACTGTGCCATTTCTGTACTCAAAATAATATTACAGATTTTACCATGAAGAGAGTAAATGGCAAAAGCAATTCTTAAGATACCAATCAAGCTGCCTTTCCAAGATTTCCAGAGAAAGCAAGATATTAACTAATTTTAAGGCCCATATCAGCTCACAGCTTTAATACCCCAAAGTAACAATTCCAACAAGGAATGAAACATTTCCACAGCTCTCACTTGTACTTCGGATTACAGTGATAAGCAATAGCAGTAGCACTGGCTTTAATAGACAGATAATGAAGCTCTGCAGTCCTTCTGGCCACAGTTCATAAAGCCAAATGAACAGTCTCGCACCTGTCATTCTAAAGAGGCAAAAAAACAGAGGTTATGAAGGGAGATTTCATTCTTCCTTTGAAACCTTGCTCACAAGGCCAATACCTTTCAGCTTATCACAAACTAATGAACACATGTGCAAGAGAAGATTAGCCACAAGTAAACAGAAAAGCACCAACAAGGAGCTGCTCTCATTCATGAAAGTTTCATTACATATTGGACTATAATGCCACCTATAGTTAAGGTTGCCCAACACTTCCCATTATGCGCTCCTGTTTTTAAACTGCTTCTAACTACTAACATTAATGATTCAGGGTGAAGCTTTAGAAGCCAGGTGTGTGCGCACACATGTGTTTTCCTTAAATCAAAGCCAGCTACTTCCCCAGTTTAGAGTAAGGGGTGAAATGTTCTGCTCATATTAAGAAACACTCACCACCATTCTTAAAGTGTCTCATAAAACATTAATTTCAGCTACCTCATGCATATCCACTATTCATAATCTCCAACCAAGCAATCACATGATGTTTTCCAAAGGAACCAATTCAGTGCACAGGATGGACTAAATCTAGAGATTAGTCAAGCTTGTGTAGTGAAGAAGGTATTGTCTCTATAGCCCCACCTAATTTACTGAGGAAGTTATTGAGGAAGGCATGTACCCATTAAGGAAATCCTGGAATGGGTGGGCCTTGGTTCTCCCATCCCGAGGGACAAGACCACAGAGTCAAAACTCAGGAGTGTTTGGAGGACAAAAACTGGGAACATAAAGTTCAAACTGAGCATTCCTGAGACCTGCACCAAGCCTGAACATCCTCTAGCACATCCCAAAGTAATCCAAGCAGTCTGTGCACAGTCCCCCAAGGGACTTGACCCAGAGCCACGAGGCAAGAAGGAACAGAAATAGGACCCATAGTCAGAGCATGCACACCAGTGTTCAGCTTCCTCCCTGGTATCACACAGCTGACTCTTTCGGCCAACATCAAGAGACGACTTTACGGGGCCCCTGGATGCGATCTATAGATGAGGTGGGGGCTGCTGTTTCCCTCCAGAACAGGGACTACTGTTTGATTACTATAAACCTATTATATGTCTGGGAATATTGTCTTAATTATTTAATTATGGTAGTTTCCTCATTTTCCTCCTCCTTTATAAAAAGGGTATATACAAATTCAGTCCCCAAATGCCATAAATAATATTGCCACTGGCTGATGTTTGTTTCATGCAGCACCAAGGAACAGCTAATTCAAAAAAAA